ATAAAGTGGATGGGGTACAGGTCCCCATGCAGGACCAACCACCCTGCCTGGGCAGCCTCTCTCCTAGACACAGGGAAGGAGGGGCTACTTGAACTGCAAAAGTCACACGGGGAGGCCCTCCTGGATGAGAACGGCTTCCTGGGGAGGAAGGGCTTCCTGGAAGAGGAGGGCCAGGTGACACTGGGCTCCCTGAAGAGGTGGTCTGCAGAGCCAGCTGGGTCGTGACGGCTGGCACAGGATGCTGGCGTCCTCACTGTGGTCACAGTTGTGTGCATCCCGATGGATGTGGGAGCAGAGCAGCAGGGTGTCCTCATTCCCGCGGCCCTTGACGTTATCCAGGGGGACAGGGCCTCGCCAGGGGCTGCCAGGGGCTGGCCACAGCCCAGCTGGTGGCACAGGACACTGGCAGTGTGCATGTGCTAGGCATCATCACAAAAGGTATGTGCTTCTTGAAGCCTAGTTTGTAGACAATTTCAAATTGATGTCATTTTATACTTTTTAAGATTTTGTTATTTTTTAGTTAAACATGTTTGCATTCCTTGTATCTTTTTCATCCTTCTCCCCCCCCCCTTTCTTACCATCCCTCCAGTGAGCCCCTTCTCCAGTGAGGAAGACCGATCTTTCTTCCTTTTATCTATCTTTTACTTCGATATTTATTTAAAACTTGAGTTTCTCATATAAGACAGGCCATGTGATATTTAAGCAGGTGTGTCTGATTTACTTCACTTGACATTATAGTTTTAAGATACAAACATTTTCCTATAGAAGCATAACTCAAACTTATCTTTCTTTATGGCTGAATGGTACTCCATTGTGTTTAAATGTCACATTTTCTTTATACATTTATTTATCTCTTGTTGGCCATATAGACTGTTTCCAAGATCTAATTATTATGAATTGTGCTGCTGTAAACATGGGTATGCATGTGTCACTGTAACAATGACCTCTTTAACTCTTTGGAAAGACACTTAAAAGGGTAATAGCTGGGTTGAATGGAATTTCTAACTTTAGATTTTTGTGGCATTGCCAAGCAGACGACATTGGAGAAGGTCTCAGCTTACTCTTCAAGGTACTTCGGAATCAAAGGTCCATCTTGGAGGGGCCCCACATCGGGTAAAAACTGTCAGGCTGAAAAGGTTATGTTTGGTCATTGGCCAGGACTGCTTGAAAGAGGGGACCTGGCCAGGGCACATGGTGTGGCTGTCCCTTAACAGCACATTTTCATTTCAGGGCTGGGGCTCTTTTGTGCCCATCACTCCAACCAAGTTGAAGAAGTAACCTTGGTGTCTGCCATCCCAATGGCATCCCTCAGCATTCTTTGATTATGCCCTGTCAGTGGGCTACTGCTTTTCCAGTAGTTGAAGCACTGCATTGGTCTAGAAGCTGATTCCTAGATCTTTGGGTAAACTGTCAAAAGGAAAGGTGCTATGTATTTATGTTCAAAGGATGCAAGTGCATTTCAACCTCAACAAGTATAAGATGCAAGTGCATTTCAACCTCAGCAAGAAGCAAGAAAATATCCACGAAACCTTTTCTAACATAGTTCAAAGTGTAATGTAAATGATCTTATTTGGCCTTTTGCATTATTGCTATATCTCACACTTCCTTGTGCCAAAATCCAATTTGAGGTTGACAGACGTCATACGTGGCATTAAACAGATCGCATGGGTAACATTTCATAATGCACACATGTGATACCCTGAGTCTCATGATAGTGTGAGCAGGTATTAGGGTTGGTTTAGAAGTGAAGGGACTTTCTGAGAGCTAAGTGATTGCAGAGGAAGTGTGTGGACTTCTGTCCCACCCCGTCTTCCTGTGGACCCTGCTTCCTGCATAGCCAGCCTCCCTCTCACTTCTCAGGCTTAGGGAAAGGAGTCCGACATGAAGGTATTTTGCTAAGCTAGCATATGCTGCCTTTCGGTCCTGGGCACCTCGATGGTCCTCTGCTGCTGCACCTGCTGCTCCCTGTCTCTGGAAAAACACACCCATGTCCTGTCACCTACCACCTTCCTTTGAGGATGCAGATCAGCAACTGAGATGATACAGTCTCCTCAAATGTCTTGCTATGTCTCAGCATCAAGCACAGCGATTGTCACCTACCAGCTTCTGAGTTCATGAAAAGACTTGAAACCAGGGTGTCTTTGCATGCTACATGGACAGACATTTGCATATTGTGCCCTACAGTTGGAGGACAATGAATGTTGACTGGATCAAAGAAAGGATGACAATTGTTGCAGGAGACACAAATATTAATACTTAATTCAATTCCATTTCAAATAAAAGCAGTGTTTCCTATTGCACATTACTGAAACAAGCTAGAGATTTTTTGTTAGATAAAACAAAATTTCTTTTCTGATTATGTGCTAAGGTGTATTTTGCATTTTTGCCTCATCTAAACACAGGAAAAAACGAAAAACAGTAATTTTCGTTTACAGTGATTTGAAGTTCTAATCAATGTACTGCCAAAACTGAGTTAATAAAAAGTAAAGCACATTACATTGTTATTTTCTTATTTATAATGAGACATGGGTGGGTTTTTTTGTTTTGTTTTTTTTTGGTACCAGGAATCAAAGCATGGGGGGGGGGTTTATTTTGGTACTGGGGATCAAACTCAGGACCTTGCACTTGCCAGGCAGGTGATTGTGCCACTGAGCTAAATCCCCAGTCCAGATGGGTGTTTGACATACAAAGGCCATCAATACACTTATGGGTTGAATCACAAAAACAGTCTTCAGCCTATGGAGAGAGACTTTGAGTATTTGTTCCTCTTTCCATGTTTTTAGTGGTAGTAATTGAACACAGGGCCTTCGTACAGAGCTGCATCCCCAGCCCTTTTTATTATTTTAAAATAATTTTGCCTAAGCTGGGGGTTGAACAGTTTCCTACCTCGGCCTCCTTGAGTGCTGGATTACACATGGGTACCACCATGCCTGCTTCCTGTCGTTTCTATGTAAGTCATTCATTTTTTTCCTAGGCTGTAGGCTCCCTGGAGAAAAGGAACCAGTCTTGTACATCTGCCTCTTTCTGATTCTCTATTACTGCTCCTCCTCAAACTCATGATGGAAAACAAAAACCGTTTTTGAATATTCTGTGGGTGATGAACTCACCGGGAACACTAGGGTACCAGGCTCTGAGATTCTCACTCACTTGCGAGTTGACAAGCTAGCCTGTCACAGTTGTGCGGATGCAGGTGGAAAGACTCTGGGTCAGAGACTTTATTTTGCATAGGAATAGTGGGAGCCTGAGTTCCAGTACTTTCTTGTGTCCATTTTTGGGGCCTAGTTCCTCATGGTGATGCAGAGAGAGCCAGGTGATACCTCCTATGTAGTGGGTAGCACTGTAAGAGGGAAACCTAGGGCACTGGGAACCCCAGTCTTCTATACAGGGAAGTCAGCGGGCCATGCCTGCCTTAAGCCCAAGAAGACAGTATCTTTATTAAAGAGGACACTGTCTCTGTCTTCCAAGGCTGAAAGCAAACTTCGCTTCAGAAGGTGGTGCGGTCGCTTTCTTCAGGCTGTGTGCTCTGTCAGCATCTTCCAGGTGATAATCTTTGCCCAGCAGATGCACAGAAATGTGAGCCATGCATGTGGAATGGTCACGGCTGGGGACCCTCGGTAGCTGGGGCTGGAGTTATCTGGGGGCTTCTCCCTTTCCATATCTGGTGGCTGGGTGGAATGGAAGCCCGTGTTCAGCTGGGACTGTCACCTGGAACCACATGCTTGGGCTTGCAATTGTCAGACCTGCTGGCAACATGAAAGCCACCAAGGGCAGCCCATACTCATCAGGAAAGGTGGCACATTTGCCTCTAGCTGTGGGCGCCTGGCCATGCCTCAGTGGAGCAGAGCACACAGGGCAAATTATTGTGGTCGTCCTTGGAAAGCCTGTCCACAAATGCAGTAGGAACACGGTCTGTGCTCATTGTAGAAATAAGTACACTCTGGTCCACAGAAGGAATTTCTTTATGTGGGCTGCTGTGTGTGCAACAGAGTGTACCGGGGAGACCATGTCCACCTGAAACTACTGGCTGTGGCCTTGGGACAGTCATGTGCCTCACTGAGCCTTTAAATCCGTGACACCCAGGAAAGCACCAGAAACATGCAGGCCCCTGTCCCTCCTGCTTCACTGGCAGTGCCACCTGAGCAGGGTCCAGTGAGTCTTGCTTGGGGCTGGGTGAGTGGGTCAAGGGCTCTGAGGTCTGCTGGGGTACACGCGTCTGTCCTGGAGGTAGAAGCCTATAGACTGTCCTTCTGCATAGAGGCTCCTCGGGCCCTGAGCGGGAGGCACCCGGGTCACCCAAGCCTTTTACTTCATCTAACTGAGTTACAGGGAGGAGCAAGGGGAGCATCTGGCTCTCTGCCCTCCAAGGGCTGAACAACAACGGGACTAAGTGGACCATGACATCGCTTCTGGGCTTCTGCCAGCCCAGGGCCCACCCTACCTAGAGAAGGAGAATGAAAAGTGTATGTGTGGGACAGAACAGAGGCTAAGACCTGAGAGGAGGAGCGAGGAGCAGAAAGAGAGCCGCTGGCCATCAGCACTGCACGGGGACTGTGCTCAGCTCACTAACAGCTAGCAGGGCTCTGGTGAGAAGCTCCCCATACCCTGGCTGTGAGAATGTATGTAAATGAGCTGGGTGGGGTGCACAGCCTTTAACCCCAACACTGAGGAGGATGAGGCAGGAGGATCCCTGGGAGTTTGAGGCCATCTTGGGCTATGAAGTGAGTTCAAGGCCTGAACTGCACAGTGAAACCCTGTTTCAAAACGACCAATAAATAAATAAAGTAAAAAATAGTATAAAGGACACACATATCTTTACAAGACGGATAATTCTCCTACTACCAACACGTAGACATTTTATTATTATCTATTCATAGTACTCTCTCTCAGTTAAAAACTAATGTAGGGTTTATCAATTATAACAATAAATTTAAAGTGGGCTAATCTGAAGTTGATACAGCTAATTTATAAAGCATAACACGGGACGTCTCAAAGGAGAAAAATGCCTTGGTTGATCCATTTATTTACTACAGTGCAGAACATTTTATTTTTAGACATCAGTGGGTTTTGTTTTTTGTTGACAATTTCACTTGTTTAACAGAAAGCAAGTCAGGAAAATCACATGGTGACTGGCAGCGACATTATTGGCAAATTGGAGAAAGTACACAGAACGTTCTTTGCTTAGAATGATGTTAAGGCAACTGGTGAGTAAGTCTCCCCCACCTAATAACTAGGACATAGGCAAATAGCATGAGACAGGAACCCTCTAGAGACAATCAAAGGCGTTTGTTTTACACATGGGCTATCCCGAAGGGTAGAGGGCCTCCATCTCCTCCCTGGATTGCTCTGAGAATCAGAGACAAGGATATTTTCATCTGTTGTGCAATGTTTTCTCCAAACTCCTCGTGCTCAATACCACGAACAGGCCACCTGGATACTCCTTCATCTCAACACATGACACACAAGTGATCACATCTACCACACAGATGTATATAATAAGGAGGCTGGAGGACTCTTGCACTAGTGACACACCCGTATTTCTTGGTGACAGCCAGTTTTACAAACTATATCAGACCATGGCCCAGTGAAACCTAGCAGCCCACCCCTTGCTTTGCAGGCATCGTAGGGGCCTCTCCCAGTCTCCTGTCATCTCTCTCAGGCACAGTCCTGTCTCTGCAAACATGAAACGTCCCCAAATACATGTGCCCTTCTCCAAAGAAATATATTTCTCAGTGACAAACATTGACTCCAAGCTAAAATGAATGCAGCAGCTGAGGGTCCTTAGGAAACTTCCTTAAGAATGAGAAAAGTTTGTGATGGCACAGTCACCCCCGAGGTCTGCATTGCTGCCTGTTAAATTAAATGCCCCTGGAGTGTCTGTACAGCGTATCCAATGGCTTACAGATTAGGATCCCAGTAACAACACGTTTCTTATAGCAAAAAATATACATATAATACTGCACTGTAGTCCATATAAATGATGAAATGTTGGAATACACCTATACCTCTATGTATTTACACATACGTACTCTGTGTGCGGAGTCAGGCACACATGCACAGCAGTCTTTCCCTGGCTCTTCTACTTCAGTGTCAGGGACACCAGGTTGCAGTCTCAATGGCTGGCACAGAGGTCACCGTTGAGGACAAAGGACTGGCTTGATGCATCGTCCCCTGTGCAGGACCAAGTCTGCTGGACAGTGGCAGCCTGCCACACACGGCTTGTTGCAAGGACCGATCTCATTCCAGGTGTCACAGGTCTTCACACACCCCGGGCCACAGGTGTCATACACAGCGCCGTGCTTGCACTGGGTGGCTGCAGAGAGGAGACAGAGCGGGATCTGAGGAGTGGCTCCTCGGCTCAGCCTCAGCCTGGGGCCATGCCTGCAGGCGGGGACCCCACACGGACCTTTCCACAGTACTCAGGTCTATCCCACACTCAGATCTGCATTTTAACAAGGGAACAACCAACAACTACATTCCTCACATGCTTTGGGAATCGCCTGCATCTATAAAAACAAATCCTAAGATCTACCTCCTGGGTCAATGAACTTCAAAATAACCTATAATAATAATGAAAGCTTTCCATTTTCATGTAAGACAAACTATAAAGCATAAATCTGTAGGAAAATGTATAAAGTTATGTGGTTATTATAAACAGCATGAAAAGCTAATCCCAAATACTCATAGCTATTGAGCTGTGAATAAAAATATTCTGTGCAACTTTATAAATATTCAAATATAGGAAATTCACACACAGGAAAAACCTACCAAGGATACTGCAAATATGTGACATCTTTTAGTCAAAAACAATCAATTTGAGGCAAGCTGGAGGAAAAGTAGGACAGAGCCACAAAGAGAGAAATTAGATGTGTGACCGGAGCAAGGGCAGCAGCCAGGCTATGAAAACGATAGAGATGAGCCTGGTCCATTTGCTTTCATTGTGAACAGAGCTGACAAGATTTGCAAAACAGAGACCCTGAAACTTTGTGAACCAATTCATCAGAAGACACTGATGGGAACATCTTGAAAATATTATGACACTCAGACTTCTCCACCTGAGTTGCTTCCTGGAACAGTGGAAGGGGCTGCCCCTCAATCTCATCACCAGGAATTCTGTCACGTGGGAATCTGGAGCAATGATTACTCCAGCAACAATCCAGCTTCACTTAAGTTGCTCCAAACAAAATTCATAATAACGGAGGCTCCACGGTCAGCATCTTAAACATTGCTATTGTTGTTCATGGGTTCACAGAGTGCTACCTGGGGAGGAATCTCAGAAGTGAAAAAAGGGTAAACAGAACTGGTTCCAAGCAAATGGACTTTACCTCAAGTCATTCAAATTATGTGCTGAGAGCTGCCGTACAATGTGGATATCTGACCGTAATTAGCAAACAAGTTCATAAGAACCATAAAACAAATCCCCTGAAGACTCCTTAAATGCCTATCACACTAGTTAAAGCCAAAAGAACAGTCATCCCATCCAAAGACACCGCAATTCTTTTTAAGGAAACAAGAGATATTCTGGTAACCATCGTTGATAACCTTGTACTCTGTTTTTACATCATGTGCTATGTCTATCCTTGGTTTTGACTGACAGCTTTGTTTTGCCATATTTGACTTTATTCTCTCCCCCCCCAAAAGTAATAAGAACTAAGGAGTAATAAAACCCAAAATGTGTAAATTTTGTTGTAAAAAAGAGAAGGAAAAAAAGTGCTCTAAAAGATACAACATCAAGTGTGTTTAGGGGTGCTAAATAGCTGACCATATTAATGTTTTTGGTTGGATCACTGAACACAACTGTTTGCAGTCTCCCTGTTTGAATGTCCACTTTGTATGCTTTGATACTAACTTGAGCAACTATCTCTAAGATGATAATATGTAATCTATTAACTGGTGATTTCTTACTGTTTTTTTTTTTTCCTTTTTGTAGTTCTGTATTGCTTGTACCCTTACACCGCTTTGTTTTGTTTTTTCTCTTTTTCCTTTTAAATAAAATTAAAAAAAAAAGACACTGCAATTACCCCTCACACATTCTTTCTTATTGTCAGAGAACTGAGCTGTGTGAAACAGCATTTTGAAAAACATTTAAATGGAACAGACTTTAAAATATTTGACATGATAATTAACATTTTTCCTGATGGTTCATGTAAATACTGACATATTTATTTATCCCTACTATACATGTTAAGTAAACTATTAACTATTGCTAACCACATGGTTCGGCTCGCTGTCTGCTAGGTAGTTACACCCAATGATGTGAAAATTGCAAGTGAAACCGTATTGAATTCTGTGCCAGGCTCACTCCTCAGCTTCTGGAGGTACATCTTTTGGTTCTCACCAGAACTGCACTCCCACATTCCTTACCCCTTCCCCATCTTTGCTCCTTTACATAGTTGTTACCCAATATGGCGCCAGAAGATAAGGTTGCAGAGGGCGAAATTCTTGCTGCCTGTGACACTATCCCTAGCTTCAGAAGACCCTAGCTTCCACAGCCAGTGTTACAGTGGTACCTCAGTTCACACACACTGTTTTTCTGGGTTTCTTTTATGAACAATTTTTTTAACAGTTTATTTCAAAAACAGGAGTGTTTGGCAAAATTCTGTTTTCATGTGCGAACTCTGCATTAGATTAAAACACAACCGCATCTGTCTTTCCCACACAAACACAAATGCAGCCAGCCTTCCTGAAACTGTAGAACAGATGTTGAAGTTCATGAACTGAGGCACAATTGTACTTGCTCAGTGAGTGAGTGAATGATGAACAGACAAATCACACAGAGCAGGGCTGGGCATGGTCCATTTGTGCCACAGGTCTGGCCCCTGCCCTCCTTTACCCTAATCTGTGGTCTGGGGCCATGCTCATCTCTTCAGGTGACACCAGGGCTCCCTGAGGACACTCAACACCAGTGGGAAAGGTGGAGGGATGGAGGGCCAGGTACTTCAGCCTCACCCTGCACTGTTGAGGCCACTATGGGTCACACTGTCCCTACGCTGTGGCCCTCTCCATATACTCTGAAGGTCTCTAGTTTCTAATCGCTAATTCCTCCCAGCGTTTTAGGCCCAGGAATGAAAGGAGTCCACCTGTTAGAAACTCAGCAAACATCAGCTGAGCATCTGCTCTGTGCTGGCTTTCTTCATAACCCTGAAGGATTAAATAGGAGTCAGATAGCATCCCCAACCTCCAGTTCTAAGAGTCTGGGCTTGTAATTGAGTAGGTAAAGCTAGCAGGCAGTTTCCCAGTGAAACGGAGATGTGTCATAGGAAACAGAGAGACAGAACACAGGAGAAGAGTGAGGAGAGGACTTTAATGGGCCAGGCAGAGATCAGATCCTGGAGGTTGGGACAGGTGAGCAGAAACTTGCCACACAGACATGGAGGAAGAGCTTCCCAGGCAAAGAGCAGCAAAAATAGGAGGCAGTGTGGGCAGGAGCAGGTGTGACAGCTGAGTCCAGCTGGGTCCTGGGCTCGGTGGGTGGGCAGAAAGGACTGTGAGAAGGGGGGGGGGGATAAAGGCAGGGACAGAGGCAGGAGCCAGGGACCACAAATGGCCCCATGGCCTGAGAGGCAGCCTTGGAAGAGCTTTGAGCTGAGAATAGCATCATCACTTTGGCTTTGATTTAACACAGCTTTTAGATGGCCTTACAGAGTTAAAGGTGATGTGAGCCTTTTTTTATCCTCTGTGAATCCAACTGTCTTCCAAATTTACAAAAAAGAGGCCAGGGGATTTAGCTCGGCAGCGTAAGTGCCTGCCTGGCAAGTGCAAGGTCATGAGTTGAATCCCGGTACCTCAAAAAAAAAAAAAAAAAAAAAAAAAAAAAAAAAATTACAAAAAAGAAAAAGATAATTTTTTAAAAATACAAATATATGCCTTTAAAAAGGATTAATTTGGTTAATTCATTATTAAAAAAAAAAACAAGGAAGTGCCAAAATGGTTAATGTTAGCATGTGTTTATTCTTCAAGGGACAGTTGTGGTGACACATAAAACACTACATGGTGATTTTATTGATCCATATGTTCAAAAAGTGTGGCTCTGTGCCTTCTGGGACTGAGCTGTTTCTCTGTCCCATACTAGGTGCTGAAGGTCACACACCCCACTTTATCGTACGACTTTAGTCACCAGTCCACTGATTTAAACACAAGATGACCAAAGATTTGTAAGATAATGTAATAGGAAATACAAAAATGACAATTTTATTAATATATTCAATGTAATAATCAACTGGCTGAAATGACACCTGCCTGAGCGATGCTCCAGGTAGTCAGTACAGGAACAAACGCACTGCCCAAGTGACACTCAGGGTAAACTGCTTTGTGGTTACAGGAGGTGCCCAGGTGGCAAGGAAAGGCTCAGTGTGTACACTGAGGATAGAGTTGCTTCAGGGAAGGAGCAGAAATCACTGGGCTATGCAGAGCCAGAAAAGTGCCCAGGGAGAAAGGTGCCCAGGGAACCCAGCTGACCGGTATCCATGGTGACAGAGAAGATGTGCAAACTGCTCCCCAGAACCTACCCAGTTATCAAATGCATTTCTGAAGGTGCAGTGCGAATCAGTGTCAGTGGCAGGCAGGGGCAGTAATTCTGCTCAGAGTTATGATGTAGGACACAGGAGAGAGGCCCTTAACAAATTTACAATCCAAAGGCACCAAGTTACTACTGTCGGTGAGAAGAACAATGGAGTGGATAATAAAATCACTAAGTCTAAAAAGATCAAGATGTCTGACAGTGGATGGAGCAGTTGGTGCTCATACAAACACAGACATGAATGTGTATCCATGCTTTTTCTACAATGCTCTGGCATTGCTGTGTCCTCAGAATGATTATAAAAAGAAACGAGGATGCAAACTGACCTGGGCTCACCTCCCAGCTCCTTTGCTCCTAGATCTCTTTAGCTTTTAGCAAAGTCCTTAACTATTTAAAGTTTCAGTCTTTCACAATAAGGTTTGGTTAGTACCATGTTGTTGTGGGCATAAAGTATGATAAAATACAATACAAGATGCTAATGAGGTCCTTGGGGAAAAGAGGCACTTAAAACATAATAAATGCCAATAAGTATAGTTATTATGAAATTTTGTATACCTTCGCTGGCACCCTCACATGTTACTTTTTATTTAGTAATTCCCAGGCTAACCTACAGTCTCATTATTCTTTCCTGACACCGCTAGTGGGCACTGCCCCGTCCACAGTGCTGACTGAGTTAAAATTCAGGCCAGCTTTTAAAATAACATTCATTCATTCAGGCTTTCTAGCCTAGTGGCTTCGTATGTGTCCAAAGCTCATGCTTTTTATTCTGAACACTTCTGTCAGATATCTGCCTTATGTGCCTTCAGTGCTGTTTTGAGTCAGAGCACCTGTGAGCTAAAAACAAGAAAACTGTCTTTTTATCATCCTCAGAATTCTAGGTGGGCCTGAAATGAGCTGACTGAGGGGTGCTGTGTAGCCCTGCAGATGCATTTCTTCATGCTCCCGCTGTCAGGCTGTGGGCGGCCATGGTGTGTAAAGCACTGCCCTCCAGCTGCACTATGATAGACTGATACTTCACCCTGATGGCTCCACAATTCTGAGAAGTAAAAGGGACCTTTCAGGAGCTGTACTCCTTTTCTACTAGGAAAGCAATTTTGGGTCCAGGGATCCCACTGCTGAATGAGGTTGATGATGTGAAATGTGCAGCCCTGAGATGCAGTGTGTGTACTGAAATGGAGCTTAGTATAGCACTGGGCCAGGGGCAGAGGGTCCATAGATCCCATTTCCAACCACAGCACCACCGCAGTTAATCACCTGAGTTGGATTCTGCTGAGCCCCGCATCACACCATGATGGCTAGGGGAGATCTGGGTTGTATTTATTTATTTTACACATTTTCTGGTAGATTCAGGGGAAGCAGAACTCTAAATAAAGAAAGGGAGCATGAAGTATTCCGAGAGCTCCATCCCTCACATCACCTGCATGTTCTACCTGCACTGAGGTCCCCACTTCCCTGCTTTGCAGGGGGCCACAGCCACACCTCAGTGTGGGTTACAATGGTCACACTGGTGCTTCTTTGAGGTGGGAGGCCTGCAGAGAAGAGTCTGGCTGTGAAAAATGCATTCTGATTGGAAGGTTGGACTTGGCCTGCAGAGGGAAGAGCAAAAACTGAAGGAAGGTCAGTGGAAGGTCAGGGACAGAGACCAGAGGCTGTACCTGGGGACAGCTGACAAAGCTCAGAACCACCACACTCACATGCTGTCACCAAAGCTGCCAGGTAAACACAGACTTGTTCACTCTGGCTGCAGGTCAGAGTTACTTTAAAAGATGCACAAGGTCCCTAGAAGTAGAGTGTCTGGACATGGGGTCCAGGTCTAGGCTTCTGTATGTGGTGCTTTGTAAGCTCCTCTAGTGATCTCAGTTCCAGCTAGGCTGAGACTCACTGGTCTAAGGGAACGGACATCTGTGCACTCTGTGCACTGTACACACAGCTTCGGGGCTGCTCTCCCAACTCTCCCTTCATCCCCTGGCCACTCCTGTGCTCCACCAATGCAGACATCCCAGAGCTTGCAGCAGCCTGAACTACCTTCTTCTCCAAGGCTACTGTAGAATCTGCAAACCCCATCTCTTCATCTAGGCAAAGAGAAAAGGCGGCCAAGCCCACACCAGGCGACAAACATTAACTCATCTCTTGACATCTAAATGACAGGAGCAGCTGCCACTGACAGCATCTTCTGCAAGCTGGACACCCTTGAGATATCCCATGTACACATCCCTAATGTCCCTACCCTGAGATAGTAAATAGTATGGAAATTCCAAACATGTCCAGATCTCTCCCCTTCTCGCCACATGCAAAGCCACCATCTAATCCAGGGCACCATCATATTTCATCAGGGCTCCTGCAGTGGCATCTTGGTGGGCCACTGCTTTCAACCTTTTCTCCCGCAGTCTATTCTCCATACTAGGGGACCTCAAACAGGGAGCAATGGATAGGACTGGGCTGCACAGCAGGAGGTGAGCTATAGGTGAAGCTCCCGCTGTGTTTCCAGCTGCTCCCCATGATCACTTCACTGCCTGATCAGCAGCAGCACAGATTCTCACAGGAGCTCCAACCCTGCTGTGAACAGCACATGGCAGGGATCTGATGGCTTTACGCTCCCTTGATCATCTCCCAGTGACCCTCATTCATGGAAAACTGTCATCCATGAAACTGGTCCTTGGTGCTAACATGATTGGGGACCATGGTGCCCTACAGCATAGTTAGGGTCATCTCTGACCTCATGTTGAGCCACTCTGTCCCTTGCCCTCCAGACTAAGCCACAAGGGCACCTTACAGGTTGAAGCGCTGTGTTTTACAATAAGCATGCTCACCTTCCTCCCTGTGCTCCTTGGGGCAGTGCTAAATGCCATCATGCCACCTCTGCAGGTTTCCCTCTTCTCCCAGTCTCTGGGGCTACCATCTCCTCTCCATTTGTTTGCTAGAGCTCTGCCCTGTGTGCTTCCATCTCCATTCTTACCATGGTTTGTAAGCATTCAACATTAAGTTATTGATTCTGTCTGGTTGTCCCACAGGCAGCCAACACCTCAGGACAGAGGCCACATTACTGTATCACCACAGTGCCCAGTGTCCAGCACAAAGCCCATCCTCAGCCACTTAGTGAGAAACATTTCTGGGATGCATAAAGGCATCCCTTTTTACAGCTAGGAAATAAAGCTAATTAGCTTTCCTTAGGACAAAAAGCTCTTAACAACCATTACAGAAATCTGTCTCTGCAGGGGTGGGGGTGGGGAGGAATATTTCGTTATGGGTATGAAAATAATCATGCTTATCCTGAGACTATAAGTGGTTGTATTTGTCCCAAACCCCTTGATCCTAACACAGCCCAAGCCTCAATGACAACTGCCCATGTGCCACATGCATCCGGGTGGTAGCTAGAAATGGAGAGAATTTGGCTACAGTGGAAATCCTCAGATTGTTAAAATGTGCTCCTCACAGGTCATTTTTACTAAGCATCATCTCCTCCCTATGAGAAGCCCTTGTGTGTTACTAATTGTTGGGCCACCAACAGGATTTCCCTTTGGCCAAGGGGACAAGGCCACTGTTTTTGGTCTGTGATCCCCTGTGTGGCACCTGGGGCAGCACAGTGACCCCTGACAGGTGGGTACTTGGCCTCTCTTACCTGTGCAGTGCCGCTGTGGCTCCCAGGGAACCCTGACGCCTTCTCTCTGGCAGGCTCGGGCATAGGCCAGAAATGACTCACAGTAACAGTTTTTGTGGGCTGGACACTCGCACATGTCTGTCACACAGGACCTAGGGGACCGACAGAGACAAAGAAACATTTAAATTATATACAAGCTGCGGGAAGCTCCAGGTGGATGGATGGAGATTCTGACTAGAAAGCTGAAATACGGTATGAAGATTCTGCATGCAGCCTGAGTGCTGGATACCTCTGAGCACTGTGTCTTGCTAGAGCAGGACAGGCCAACAGACAGAAATGTTCTGTCATCCTCGCTGCCCCTCTGTGGTTATGGAGCTCGTGGCGTGTGGCTGGTACAACTGAGGAGTTGAATTCCTACTTTGATTTCATCATAATTAACTGAGATATGAAAAGTCACACACGGAGTGGTTACCCTACTGGAAAGGCAGCACTTTGGATGTGACACCATTCAACTCACCACCACTGTGTGCACAGAGATGACTGAAGAATGACAGGTGCCACTGCAGTCTAACCCAAAACAGTGACTTGCCTGATGACAGCACAAAATCTCATGGCTTTCTCAAGGTATGTGACTAGAATTCACTTGGGCAATATCTTAGCATGCCAATCTTTTAAGGAACACCGAGTCTTTATTCTTTAGCATATAGGGTAGCAAATTCAAGCAAAACAAGCATTTCAGGCATCCAATTAGATAGAGACTTGAAGAGAGTTGAGCCAAGGTCTCCATAGCTTCACTAAGGGAAAGGATGGAGCACGATGTAATTAAACTAAATTGTGTTTAAATGCAAAGTGACACATTTTCAACCAGGACTCCAAGGAAACAATGACAGCATCACAATATTACAGTTTACAGTGTGCCTTCTCACCAATTCTATCAGACAGGTAAACAAGACACAGCACTGTCTCTATTTTACAAACAAAGGGCCCATTCCACAGTGACTAGGTGGGCCCCAAGTCACCCTTACAAACAGCAGAAGAACAAATCAAATTATCCTCCTCACTCTGAGAGCAGTGCTCTCTCTATTACTGAGCTGCAGTCATCACCCTTATCTTTGAACAACTGACTGCTTAATCATTTTTCAGTTGACATTTAAGCAAAAGCTCCCAAAATTAGTACAATTTAAGCAATGTTTATTGTTTCCATGATGTTTTCAGCAAACTCTGCTCTTCACGCAATCAATTTCAAGGCTGAACAAAGAAAAAGCAACACTCAAGATTACAAGTAGCACAGTTGATCCAGAAAAGTGGATCAGGACGCGGTCCTTCAATGCCACCAGGTCAGTGCCCACCTGACTGCAGAGAGCAGCTGTTGCTGTCTGGGCTGGAGGTGGCACAGCACCTGCCCCAATAAGAATGAAACAGCAGAACCACGCTCAGTCCCATAGTGCGCCTGCAAAGGTGTCACAATCCGACACTCCGGGGTGCAGACATGGGAAATAAAAACTCACAGAGACAAAAGAAAAAGTGATCTTAAAACTAGAGACGCTGCTGTTCCATTTCACTGACTGGTGAGTGTTATTTAGACAGGACAGAGAATCAATATTTTTCCTCTCTAATCATCATGGCTGTATTTCTTATTATGTTTTTTTTTCTTTCATTATTGGAATCCTGTGCAATCATGTTCTAGCAAAGGCACTCACTCACTAAATGCCCAGGGAAGTCCTCATGTTGGGTGGAGCCCTGTTCTTCCAAAGAAAATCCATACAAGGCTTCCCTTTGGGATGCCCGCTAAATGTTCACCTATGAATCTCCTTGTCTCCACAATCTACTGCGCTGTTTCAATTTTCATTTCAGAATAACCCACACCCATCAGCTCCACACTCAGATTTGTAACAGTGAGTTTGGCTTCCAGGGTGTGACCTCTAACCCGTTCCCACTCACTTCCCCAGTAGACTTCAGTCCCTGTCCTCTTTTCCTGGCCTGTGGGGTTCAGGGGTGTCTCCTGCGTGCAGTGCTCCTGCCGGCATGACCTGGATAACATGGCATCCAATGGGGCTGCTAACACCAGGGAGCTGCATGGGGAAGGGTTAGTCTTCCTAGAAGGAAATGATCCCCCAGTTTGAAAGAAAGAATATCTACTATGATTATGCACAATTTCAGGAAGAATAAATAAGTAAAATTTATTTGGGTGAAAAGTTTGTTGTTTTACATTTCCCTCAATTTTTCTTGGTTTGTGCTTATCTTGGGAAGCTTCTTCCTTTAAGCTAAATCCAGTTCATTGAAACTCTTAAGAGAAAACACAGTGGCCACACATTTAATAATTGCTGTGTCCACCATGCCTCAGTAGTAATCTCCTGAACTTTACAACTAAGGAGGACCAGAGCTTCTGTAGGGCTTGGAGCCCATGAGAAATAGCATATGAAAAACTTTGCATGTATTTAAAGTCTTGAACAATGTGTTTTATCATAGCTGTTAAACTTCTAAGACACTGTTTTTCATGAATGAAATAACAGCTCTTACACCAAACCATGCCCAGGGGCCTGAGAGCACAGGGAGCAGACCCTTCACGCTCTGCAGCGGAGGGACGAGACAGCCCATGGTTCCCAAGCTGAGAGTGTGCCTGGACTCAGCCATTTACCCTCTCTGTCCCCGCCGCTGCACAGGGCACTGAAGCAGGAGGCAGAGGTTGTCACCACCCTCTCTGGTGGGCAGGGAACTGAAGCTTGGAGATGCCAAGGACCCGCCCGAGGTCACAGGGCAGGGGACAGCAGCAGCTCTGCAGACCCAGGGATACAGCCCGAGTTCTGCTGGTGTCAAAACCCCACACTCACAGTAACCACACGTGGAGATCTTTCTAGAGATCATTGAGGCCACGTTGATGAGTGGTCCATTGAAAGGCGCTCACTCTGACAGGGAAACCTTATGCCCAAGAAAATAAGAATGCATGCAGACAAACATTTTTACAGGGATTTTAACCGTAATGCAATTTGAATTGAAAGAAAAGAAGAAGAAGAAGAAGAAGAAGAAGAAGAAGAAGAAGAAGAAGAAGAAGAGGAAGAGGAAGAGGAAGAGGAAGAGGAAGAGGAAGAAGAAGAAGAAGAAGAAGAAGAAGAAGAAGAAGAAGAAAGCAAAACTGCCTACAATAGTTTACATTTAGTAAACTTCAGTATCTTGTACAGTGAAATACTTCACAGCCAGTATGATGATATTTGCGAAATATTTTCTTAAAATATGGAAAAATGTGCTGGAGGGATAGAATGGAAAAAAAAGGATAACAAAAATTCAATGCTGTGTAATCACAGAGAGAAAGCAAAACTAACTGAAAACAGACGCGCTCAAATACGCATGGCTGCCAATTCTGGGGGGCAGAATAGATTTTATTTCCTATTTTCTACAATGAACACCTCTCTTTTCTAAAAAGGCAAATATCATGTTTTGTTTTCAAAACAACAAAACCGAATACATGGAGCATAGTAATATCTGAGTCAGAGTTTGGGAACTAGAGTGGAAAAATAAAGGTAAAGAATGGTGGAAGCCACAAAACCCTCCGCAGATCCGCTATGAGATACTTAAGGAGAAATGGCTTCCATCTGCCCGTCGGGGCCTCCTGAGCACTTTAATCCAGTCATTCGTGTGGTCTTCACACTTCTGCTTTGCTGGTCTCTGCTGCTGGGAACTTGACATCAGGTGGACTGATTACATACTGGGAGAATTATGCACACTTTCACTGCATACAGAGGAATTTATTGAGAGAAACATGGAAGTATTTAAAGTATTTTTCAAATTGTGTGAAGGGGCAAACCTATTGTGACTCAACTCTTCAATTTATCCACAAGTGAGGCGAAATTGAATACGAGGAATGTCTAATTTAGGACACATCAGAGATGGATTTTTATGTATGTATAAGAAATTAATGACTCTTCTTTAAAATGCATGCATGGGCATTGCACATTTATGCTCACGGAACAAGTAGCAGGACTGTAGTGAGTTTAACTGCAGAGCTGAGATTCGTGGCTTTGGTATTTCTGCTTTCATCACATTGTGTGTCACCATTCCTTCCATTGGATGTGGACTTGGTCAGGAAACTCAGCAGCCCATCAGCTTTTCCAGGAAATCTCTACAGGTGAATATTCCCATTTACACTGTGGGTTTCCATTATATAAGAAATAACAGAATAGCAAAGAAAATGGGCTCTGTCATCTCTTTAAAGCACGCTTTGCCCTCTCTGCACCTAATAACAGTATTAGAATGACCTGTGGCTCAGTCCTTCCCTGGAATCCAGTAGACTCCAGCACTGGTGCAGGGAATCTGTCCCCTCCCTCTCACCCACCAAACTGCCATAATTGTTCCCTGCATGGCCCAAGACAGTAAGGAGTAGCAAATATGGCTATTTAAATTAGAATTTCAGCTAATTACAATTGATTAAATTAAAACCAGATCCCATGGCACAAGGGCCATTATGGGAAGGAAGCCAGGAGAAGGAGCACTGAGGACTAATTCCTGGGGCACAGAAGGTGTGCGGAGTGACAGGTCTGCAGAGGAGGAGCTGGGCAGATCTGGGGTGCCCTCACTGGCCTCTCTGCGTGTCTGGAGGACTCTGGATTTCTGCGCCCAGACTGCTGGAGTTCCCTCAGGCTTCCAGGTGCAGTGAAGGAGAGAGGTGGGTTTAAGGCTTCCACATCAGCCTCCCCATTCCCGGCTTCATTTGGAGACCTGCTGAGCTCCCGATAGGTGGGCTGGCCCACACTACCAGCCTAGCCCAGCCTGTTTAGCTGCCGCGCCTGGCCACAGGTCTGCAGAGGAGGAGCTGGGCAGATCTGGGGTGCCCTCACTGGCCTCTCTGCGTGTCTGGAGGACTCTGGATTTCTGCGCCCAGACTGCTGGAGTTCCCTCAGGCTTCCAGGTGCAGTGAAGGAGAGAGGTGGGTTTAAGGCTTCCACATCAGCCTCCCCATTCCCGGCTTCATTTGGAGACCTGCTGAGCTCCCAATAGGTGGGCTGGCCCACACTACCAGCCTAGCCCAGCCTGTTTAGCTGCCGCGCCTGGCCACAGGTCTGCAGAGGAGGAGCTGGGCAGATCTGGGGTGCCCTCACTGGCCTCTCTGCGTGTCTGGAGGACTCTGGATTTCTGCGCCCAGACTGCTGGAGTTCCC